TGGTGGGCTGGTAATCTTTAACAACTGGCTCTCTAGAGGGGAAAAAGTCCTGATTTGTAGGGTATGCTAATTTCTGTGTTGTGAATGCTTCCAACATGACCTATTTCAAGCTACCAGTGTGACATCACTGAACACAGAGTTGGGAAGAGATGGAGACAACTGGCTCCTGGGAGCTGGTGCAAACTCGCTCCAGAGCTCCTATGTTTGTCATGTGAGTTAATTCTTAAAACAATCCCATAAGATGTAGAGGAGTTTCATTTCACAAATGGTAAAACTAAGGCCTAGAGAGAGAAATATTTTACCCCAGGTTATGTAGCTAGTTAGTGGCTGAACCTAATTTTAGATCCAGGTCTGCCTGTTTTCAAAGCCAGTGTTCTTTCAGCAAGATCATGTTGCCTCCAGAAGAGTAACATGGTAAGCTGTCCATTTCAGAAGAGTCCCCCTGGCAGTATAGAGCAGAGGTTGAGACTGTAGAGTGAAAGAGTACTCGACAATATATCAGTGGAGCAGTGTGTATGTGTTCCAGTACAATTTTATTTACCAAAGGCGGTGGGGTGTGTACAGTACAGAGCGGGTCAGAAGGAAGCACAGTAAGAGGCAGATCACGTAGAAGGTTACTGAGGAGGGTGGGTGAGAGGTGATGGCACTGAACTAAGGTGATGGTAGGATGTCAGCAATCATGGACATATTTGATAGAATTGCAGGATGGAATTGCTGGCCTTCCATTTCTTTAGATGGATATGGTTGTGGGGAAGGAGCAGGGTTATAAATGGAAAGTCAAGGATTATTTCCAGATTTCTGGTTTGTAACCGTGAACACGGTGGTGCGATTGGCCAGCATAGAGTCATGAGAAGCAGGTTTCTTTGGAGAAAGCTTGTGTTCAGTTTGGAGATGTTGCGTGCAAAGGGCTTATGGAAAGTCCCAGTGGGGATGTCCAGTAGGAAAGTGGAAATGCATGTACTCAGGAGAGAGATCAGAGCTGGAAATTGTGAGCAGAGCAGTCCAGGGTGGTAGCTAAAAGGCTGTGGATGAACTTGGAGAGTGTGGACAGGGCTGAGAAGCCAGTGAAGTTGCTTGCGAACCATAGGGATGGTCTCAAGGAAAACCAACCTAGAATCCTGTTTCTTTAGACAAGGTAAGAGTGCTTCTAACAGGAGAGAGGGGTCGGCAGTGTTGGATGCATTTGTGGGTGCTGTGAGGCACTGCCCAGGTCCCACTTCAGGAACGAAGAGCTATTTTCTCAGCTGCTGTGAATATCGCCCCAAGATGACCCCAGCTGTCAGCCCTTTTGGGAATTGCCTCACCTGAAGAAAACTGCCTGGTTCTGGGTCTCCCCTACTTCCAGAAGTAGCCCGTATCCCCTGACCAAGATAGTGGGATAAAGGCCCATCTCCCTTGTCCCCACTTGGGATGACTCTGTGGGGCCACTGCAGCTCCAGGTCTCCCTGTGGAGTTGGCTGAGCCCAAGTTGGGAGCACATGGCAGCTCAGTCTTTCCCTCTCGGCCCCATCCTGTCTTCTTCCCCTGCCTTCTATGTGAACTGAACCCAAGTGCACTCCCAAATAAACATCCCGCTTGTTCATTCCCATCTCGGCATCTGCTTTTGGGGGAGCCCAGCATGTGACGGATGCTCTTTCCCTGTGTCCTCTGCCCTGTGAGGTTGCTATTCGAGGGTGAGCAGGGCCACACCTCCCTACCTATTCATTCATCAAACCCTAAAACAAGCCAGTGGTGGGTAAAAACCAAGATTTGACTTTTACTGACTGAATAAAGCTTTATTTTGATGCAAAATAAACAAGAAAAATTTATATATTCATATATAACAATATCCAAAATCTTTCTGTGGTAAAAATGGGATCATCCTAAAAAGTCTGTAAAGAATTCATTCTCCACCCCCTACGCCAAAATATGATTTCACATAATTTATCTTCAGAACTTACGAACAGACTTGGTATCATATAAGCACAGGAAAACCCTAGAAAAAGTGACTGTATAAACAGCAGGTTTTGTTTTTATGTTCCAGTAGTAAATAGCACTGCAGTCAGCGTGGATGGAACATAACACTGTCTGAAAGAGCTGAGTCAGGAGACAGTCTTGGGGGTTAGTTCGCGCTCCACTCTGGGTTGATGGCGAAGCCCACCTTTAAAAGCCAGGCTGTGTGGGATTCTATTACGATTTAAGGACATGAGGGAGAGTTTCCCTTAGAAGTTGTAGCTTCATATGAGATTCTAGGCTTATTTTAGATATCTAACTTTCATTTTCCTTTTTATCAGAAAGGTGACTTTGTAGCGATATCTTATGGAGACTCCTTTTTCTGGTCTCATTGTGGCATCATTTCCACTTAAGTCGGCGTGAACCGGGAGTGCAGAGAAATACTGTCGCGGGCTGTTTCTGACTCCAACTCCCTCCTGCCTAATTGCGCTAAATCTGGACTTTCTGTCGCTCCTGGACTCGAAGCAGTAGGGTGTCTACCCAATTTAGCACCAGTTTGAAGGCCATTCATTGTGGATTTCAGAGTTTAATGCCAATGAAAATTTTAGAGACACATATTGCTGTCCACACCAAACTCTCCAGATCTCTATATCCCTCTGAAATGCTAAGGTGTTCCTCCAAAGAAAATGAACGCTGTGGATACAGGTTAGGGAATGAACACTCTTTAAAGTCTTGATCACTGTGTATACCAGCCCTATGCATGGCAACTCCAAAAGTTGTCAGGTGGATTTCCTTCAGGAGATAGATTTCACTCGAGAAGTTCCTAAATCTTTGGAAGTAATAATGAATCATGTTTTAATTTTGTTACCGGTGGCAAACACAAAGCTACAGTGAAGTCTCAAATCTCCTCTCTCGGTTGGTGTGCACAGAGTTTCCTCCTCAGGGTGACGGTGGGTCTGTGGCTCTGCACGTGCTCTCGATTATAAGATCTCTGCTCTGTGCTGTACTGTGAGGTTAACGCATGTAGATCTAAAAATCTAAGAATAAGGAGCTTCACAGTAATTTTTTCCCCCAGTTTTGTTGTCAGTCATGATTTAAGAAAATACTCCTGACTTTGAGCTTGCCTTTCATCCAGTGGTGTGATACCACAGGGAAGCAATATTATACCAAGAGTGATACTGCCACAGACCAATGACACAATGGGTTAGTGAGATGTTGTGTTTCGCTCCCTTGTAGAGGACTGAATTTGCCTGCATCTAAAATTTTTCGGTGGTCTGCTCCCTTTTCTCTCTCTATGCCTGCAAAAAGGGACACAAACAGAGCTCCTTAAAATAACTAGTTACTTGAGGCCAGTACATCATTTCAAGGCCTGGATGACCCAGTGGTCAGGCGAGGAGCCGGGTGGGTGTACGTTGATGGGTTTGTAGCTCGCCAAGCTCGCCGTGCCACCTTTTCCTGGGGGGGGGGGGGGTCTATTAGCATTCCGAGCTACAAGGAGACACCTGATTGAGTTTTTCCAAGGCCATAAATAACCCAGGAACTATTTCCTGCTACTGGGTACCTACTGATTATAGCCTGGTCTCCTAAATACTGGGAAAGAGTTCCATAACCTCTGGGTGGTGACAGTTGGAGGGCTGGTTCACAGGCATTTATAAAGCTTACATTCAAGCTGTTCTTACTTGTCAGTTGGCTTGATGAAGACTGTCGCACGCGTAACGCTGGCTCCTTTTGGGTAGGGTCTAATGGGGCGTGTGTTCTACCTCAAGCAATAAAAGAAAACTGCTATAATCCTTTTTTCATCTGTTTTCATAGTACCTTCACATCCTTAGCTGCCCCTCAGGATTAGCAACTGTTGTATCACCTGTGTGTACGACACAAAACCATGCTTGCAGCAGCTTCCCCCGAGCCTGAGTGCAGGAGATATGCTCGCAAGGTGGCAACGTGGTGAAAATATAGGCATTCTTCCTACAAGGGTCACTTCTCCAGCACACACAGAGCGTCTCACCTTATACCACTGCCCCTTGTGGGACCTTGGCCTTAATCCAGGAGGAAGCTTCTGGCTTAGCTATGTCCACTAGTCTACAGAAATTTGGTTAAATTATGGAACATCCTAAAGAGCTGATTTTTAATGCTTCAAAATACATCACACTTCCCTCCTCTTATCATTGTCTTCTTGAAGGTTTATGTAGCTTGAGGGGAAGGCAGCTTGCAGCATGTTGGCTGGGAAACCCTACAGCTCACCTGCACTACAGCTCTAGGTGAGCAGGGCCCAGTCCTCAACCTCTGCACAAATTGCGAACGATCTAAAGGTGCCTGGCATAAGAGAGATGATAGAGGGCCACAAACAACTTGACAGTCTATTTTCAAGAGGGCCATAAGTAAATGGTAGTTTAGAAAATGATACCTCTTAAAGTTCAGTAAATAACACTAGTTAAGTCTAAACCCACCAGTTGCATCATTCTTGGTAACAGAACTCTATTTTAAATTAAAATAAGACTAAACTGGGCTGGATAGATAATCTATATATTCAATAATACTATAATTTATTAAATCCTAGCAGTCAGAGGTATCCTAATCTTGGCCAAAATATGTCTAAATTGAACTCGAGACTTTTTATGGGAGGGAATGAAGAAGGAATGTAAAAAGGTTTAAAGTACTGCAGGAGTCACTGAACAATTCGAGTTGCTGCTCCCATGCTTTGCTGTTTCTCGGTTTTCTCTTATGTTCTCATTTGGGTTAGGTTGTAGGTTTTAGAGGTTCTGTGTTGAAATAAGTAGAATATAGCTGCAAAGCTCTAAAAAAATTGCCATGGATTCCGGAGGGTGGGCTTTCAGCTTTTCGAAGCCATAAGACCTTCTTTTCCCAACTGGAGACCTTGGCCTTGGTCTTGCCCTGACTTCTGTTAATGAAATAATATAGCAGATATAGAATGATTTCGTTTTATGCTTCTTCTCCCTTCCCTTCTGTTTTCTGGCTTTTTTCCTTTTTATTCCCTTCCTCATCAAACTTTCCATTTTTATTTTCCATTCTCCATACTGGTAATCACACACTT